CCCCCCCCCCCCCCTCTTTTTTTGTTGAAGATTTGTACTGATGGCAAGTACAACATTCTAGCTAAGGGTGTAATGGTCAGCATATCTAATCTATTTGGTCATGCCTGTATTCCCTTTTTTCCTATTCTTTATGATTTTGTAGTGCCTGACTTTGAAGTAGCTCTTGAATGCCTCTGTAAGGGAAAAATGTGTAGTGGTATTGGAAGAGCAGTTCTAAACAGAACATGGAAGACCAAAAAGGGCTTTTGGTGATTGTGGAGTAAATAGCTGTGCTGAGGAGATGCTCCATTTTAAATGGAAATGAATTGTGTTGTGAGGATCCCTCTTCTTCTTGAAAATAAATACTTGAATCAACCTAACAAAGTTTGTGTTCTGGAAAGATAGATGATCCCATTTTCACGGGAGTGTATTATATAGAAATATTTATCTTGCTATTCCAAGTGACACAAAGGAGGGATTCATTTTGCTGATAAAACGTGGTTGTAGGCGAAACAAAAGACAGTAAGAAAGAAAGAAAAAGTGGAGGAATAACACTATGTGTGTGGATTCTCCTGTGATTTGAAGTGATTGTTGTTTTTCCCTTTGCAGTGATCCCTGAACTGGGCAACATAGACTATTTCTGTATTCTTTCACTGTACTATCAAAGTAAAACTTGGCTAAACACAGAGATAACCAGTTCGTGGTTCTATCTCAGTTCCTACAAGTTTCCTAGGTTAACTTTAAAACAGTATTTCTGTTCAGTTAATGTTACATGCAACTTAGTTTATTACATAATGATATTAATGCCAAAGCTCTCTGTATTTTTGTAGCTTTTGAATTTTACTGTTCTTTGAAAGTTGTCTTGCTTTTTTTTTACACCGCTGTCCAGTTTGATTTTCATAAACCTTGTCTTGTCAGAAATGTGGTGCTTACAACAGGAAGAAGAATCGTTTTTGTTTTTGAGTAAATGTAACATTTAGAATTCATTTTCTAAAAACAATAAAAAATGGACCTAATAATTGAGCCATACCAATGGATTCAGACATGAAGAAAACTTATTCTCCTGGTGCTACGTAGGGTAGAGAAAAATACTGCACCCTTGTCTCATGTGAAAGTCTGTACATGAGCATGTGCACGCAAATGCTGTTCTGTCAAGTATGTATATGAGTCAAATATTAGTAGCAAGAGAAGCAGATGGCGTTTCAGGTAATTCAGACTGCTGTGTTTTTAGCCAAGCAAAGTAGCTTGGCAGTGTTTAGAGGGCTTCCAAATTCCAGTCAGAAATAATTTCTGGCTGGGTGAGTTTCAAACAAAGTGGATTGTTGCTTTATATAGGTTATGAATATAGAATAAGTAGTTGGTTACTTAGCACTTCATGAGCCTGTAGCATTCAGTGATAAGAAAATGAGATTTGATTTAAAAGAAGCATATGGAATTTGTAGTATGCTGTATGTATCTCAGCCTAGCTTGATAATACAAAGGTGATGTGGCTGATGCTTTAATATATACCTGTGCATTACTGATGTGTGGAAAGCTGGACGTGAGCCACAAAGTGCTCTTGCAGCCCAGAAAGCCAAGCATATCCTGAGCTGTGTGAAAAGAAGTGTGGCCAGCAGGCTGAGAGAGGTGATCCTGCCCCTCTGCTCTGTGTTGGTGAGCCTTCACCTGGAGTACTGCGTCCAGATGTGGAGTCCTCAGTACAGGAGAGACATGGACCTGTTGGAGTGTGTCTAGAGAAGGGCCACAAAAATGATCCAAGGGGTGTTGGAATGCCTCTCCTATGAGGACAGGCTGAGAGAGCTGGGGCTGTTCAGCCTGGAGAAGAGAAGGCTGCAAGGTGATCTGATGGTGGCCTTTCAGTATCCAAAGGGGAGCTACAGGAAAGAAGGAGATGGACTCTTTAGCAGGGCCTGTGGTGACAGAACAAGGGGAAATGGCTTGACACTCAGAAAGGGTAGATTTAGGTTGTATATAAAGAAAAGTCTTTTCCAGTGAGGGTGATGAGGCACTGGAACAAGTTGCCCAGTGGTGTGGTTGATGCCCTGTCCATGGAGACTTTCAAGGCCTGTGCATTGCAGTGGAGTTGGACTAGATAACCTTTAAAGGTCCCTTCCAACACTAAGGATTCTATGATTTTGTAAATTGCCAAGTTTCTGGCCTGTTTTAAATATCGATGGATTGCTGGCACTTCAGAGTTCCCTTTGGATCATGTTTGGGTTATTGTATACCAAGAAGATCTGTATTTTGGATTTCAACTGCAGAGCTTGCTTTTCTGGTGTCTTGGAGCCAGCCAAGAGAATCTGCATTGCTGATCCTAAACGTTTTGGTTTTAAAGATCAAAAAAAACGTATGTGTAACATTAAACATATTCAAGTTACCTGTAAAAATATTTAAGAACTTGATGGTGATGTATATCATGTAAGATTTGTCACCATTTTAGTTTACGTTTGTCTGAAGGTAGTTTTCAAAATACAGCCTAACTTGACAGCACTAGGATAATGAAATGGATACTACATTAAATATTTTATATTAGATTAATGTCAGAGCTGTTACGCTTGTAAGTTTTATAGGAAAGGCAGATACATATATAGTATTAAGCAAATGTATATTGTTTAATACATAATTAACTAATATTTCTCAATTGCATGACATGTTTTAATGCTTTAATTAGTCATTTGTTACAAGAAGAACAGTTCATATTTGGTTTAAAATAGTCCAATTACAAAATACAGGTTATTTTAATAAACAGTAGCAGCAGTGTATGCAGAGACATGTCTACATAAAAGTTATATAGTTATAAATGTTATGTAAATTTTTATATGCAGGTGTAAATTGTGTATATTAAGGCTTAATGGACTGTATTACAATATGTATTACATATATTACATACGCTGTATTACATTATATATTACAGAGCAAGAAGGTTGTTTAGGTTGAATATGACTTCCAGCCCAAATATGTTTAGAAAAAACTTTCAGTGATATTTTACTGTTTATTTCAGATAATGTTGTCATTGTTATTTTTCACTGTTTAACTTTCTTAATTTATAAATATTTCTGCTAACTTCAGATTGTGTAAGGCCGGACTTAATTATTTTTCATAGGAGAAAATATGCCTTAGCCAATGCTGTTCAGTGTTAGCAACGCAGGAAGACTTTATTGCATCATTCTGGCTTTGTGCTATGTGTATTTCTTGAAGCTTATATTTCATTCATTGCACTTCTCTTGTCTTCTAGTTGACAGCAAGATCACTGCCTTCCATACAGTCTGATGAGAGACTACAACCACTGCTTAATCATCTCAGGTAGTGTAAATAGAATGCACTTGGGGGTAGAATTTTTTTTTCAGGTACTTTAGCTGTGTGATTGGCTTTGACTGGAAAAAAAAGACAAGCTGGAAGAATAGAGATATTCTAGTTTTTTGGAAAGTATTTGAGGTTGAAGAGTAAGAATACTTTTCTGATATTCTTCACGTAGGCATAGGTTTTTCATCCATGTATGATTATTTCCCTCCCCCCCACACATTATATGGTTTGGAGAATTCTCTTAGTAGTATACAGTAAGACTAAACCATGCAACAAGAAGGAGGTGCGCTGGTTTAGAGTTAATGAAATATTTAGCTTGGAGTGAACCTCTGGAAATGATCTTATCTAGCCCCTGCTCAAAGCAAATCCAATTAGATTGGATGGTTCAGGTACATACCAGTTTGAATTGTTGAATTCTTGTTAAGAGTATAAATTTACTTAAATATTGAATGTCCATAACAAAAGCCCTTTTTAACATTATGCAGCATTAAGTTTACTGAAATGATGCTAAATGAATTAGAAATGGAAACAGTGAGGCTCCATCATGACAGCAGTGTACCTGATTTAGGATGCAGATCTAGTCAGCATGCAGTTCATTTCCTATGATGCTCTGCTGCTTGAGATATCTGTACCTAAAAAAAAAACAAACCAAAAAATCACAGCATTTTATTTTTTCATCATTTTTATTAATAATACATAAAGATGTTCTTATATGCTTTAGTGTAAATGAGAATAAGAAAAATTGTTTATTGACATATGTTTAGATTTTGTTTCAGAGCAGTAAATTGAAAAAGTGCACCGTAACTGTTACTTTACTATTCAGGGACTGCTTCTGATTGCTAATAACTGCGAGTCTTTCATGTTTTTATTACCATACATCTTAGTGGGACGTTCCAAATATGCTCTGTGGCATACCTTTTTCCATTCGACTTTGAAGAGCAATTAGGTCAGCTTTTTCTGAATTATGCTCTCCAAGAGGCATTATTGAGAAATCTGAAATCTCACATATGTGGAACAGTCTTCACTATCACACAATCACAGAACATTGCACATTTTTAAAATAACTTTGGTAAAGGAAAGCCTACATAAAAAACATAGAGTTTAACGCTGCCTGTTTAAACTAACAGAGACGTTATCTGATGTTTATGCAAAATGGCTTTTTTTTTTTGCATTCTGATGTTAATTTGGGTTTTTGTGTTAAGCAACCATTGAGTTGCTTTTATTTTACAGTTGTGATAATGAAGGAGCTGTTCCCAGTACGTTTTGTCCCCACTTAAAAAAATTATGCAAAAATCATTGTCTTTTGGCAAATTCATTTAAAATAGGCGGAATACATAAAACCTTACAACTTGAAAAACAGGCTCTGGCAGTGAACAGACAAATGATCAAATAGGTCTTCTCTGTTACTTATTTCCACAAATCTAGATTCATTTTTGCTTCATCTTACTCAGGAAAAAAAAGAGAATATTAGTTGTTGGCTTTCCTGTTCCTTCAGCGTGTGAATTCTTACTGCAACATTTTATTTCTTGCACATGTCAATAGAGCTTTGTCTGAGGCTCAGATAGAAAAGTGTGAAAAGAGAACACAATTGATAGTTGCAGAGCACTGTTTGGTTGTTAATGCTGTGTACATTTGTTTGCATATATTCATGACCGTATGGGACTTTTAAATTAGCTAGTCCTCAAAGCTGATTTCACTATGGATTGTGTCAGCATAGACACTTAAATTCCTGCTCATTTTCTTTTAAAATGGGCATATTTGTGGTTGGACTAGTTTAGACTAAATGTCTATTTTATCTGAGACCTGGGTACTCACAGGTTCAGAGTTCTTAATGGTGCCAGAGGATATAATAAATGACAGCAGTTACACGTAGCAACTTCAGAGTTTCAGATGAGATATTAGCAAAAATATCTCTGCTAGGGTTATTGTGCAGCATGTAACCCAGAGATGGGGAATCTTTTGTTTTTGGAAATTATTAGGAACAAGCTAGAAAAAATCCAGGGCTGACCTGATTAAAGTTGGTCATAGTACCACTTTAAGTTGAATGTGGAACTACATGGTCTTTTAGCATCTTTCACAGCCAACATTTGTATAATTTTGTTTGTTCTGTTATCAAATGATAGTTCTCAGGGTTGGTGCTGAAACGAGTTGTTTTACAAGTCTAGATGTTTTTTTAAATGAATCTGCACAGTTCTTGTGCAGATATGTTTACTCTCCTTACACTCATACTGTAAAGAAGGAACACCACCATAGACTTGTCATTTCCTATCCTCAACATCAGCAAAACGTCCTTCCTATCTCTACTGAATCTCCTGGTACACTAACTGCTTTATTTGTCAGAATGGTTTAACAGATGTTTTTTGAAAGTCATATCCTACTCCTGGGAATGTGGGTATGGTCATTTCTTCTTGGTGGTCAACAACAATGCATATGTACGTATGAGCAGTCATAGGGAATTTAAGTCCCAGCAAATTGAGTGCTTATGATAAGTAGCCCATGTTTATCTTTGTCTTCCTCCTCGCTTTCTGTCTCAGTTTAGTGTGTAATCCAGCTTTTGAATTTTAACCCATTCACATGTAATCAGATGTGTAGACTATTTTAGAACAACTTAACTTGGTCTAAATGAAAGACAGCAACTGAAGTGTTCTGTTCCTGCCATAAATCATGATATATAAGCAAATGTAGCACCTCTCTTCCTTCATCTGCAGCAGTTTCCTAAACTCCAGACATTTCCAGCTCAGGTTTCCTACTTCTTTGAGTGTCTCGGCACCTTCAGAAGTGGTTTCTGCTGCCAGTACTCCTCAGTGAGTCTCTCTTGCATGAATTGCACTCATTTAAGAGCTCTTGATACTGCAAGTAGATTTCATTGCTACAATTTTGGCGTTTGGTTATCTTGTATTTTTTTTTTAAGTCCACATATTTTCTTTGACTTAATGGTGTCAAATTTAAATTGTTTGGCATGTAATAATATAGGAAATAGGATTTTGTATTACAGGAAAATTTTATTCGTTGAATTCCTAAAAGCAGACAATGAAAGAATAAATTACATCATACAGATATGATCTGTTTACTGCAACCTGTGTAAAATAAAAAATTCTAAGCTTTTCTTCCTTTCATATTCTTAAAATTATTTTGCATTCAGTGTTACATTAATGGCTTAACTGTTTCCTAGCATTGTTTGTTCAAACCAGCATTACTACAATTCTGACAATTTTGCTGAATGTGACTCAGTTCCAAAATCAGTAGTCAGCACGGGTTCACCAGGGGGAGGTCGTGCTTGACCAACCTCGTTGCCTTCTATGATGTTGTCACTGGCTGGGTGTATGGGGGGAGAGCAGTGGATGTAGTCTACCTTGATTTCA